GCTGCTGGAATCGTTCCAGCCAAAACCGTTTTCCCGCCCAATGGAAATTAGGACTGAATCCGCCTATAGACCTTAAAACGGTTCAAAAATGTTTGACAACATTGAATAATCAAAACTACGCATAAAACAATCTCTTTGTTAAGCAGCGAAAGTACTGCAGAAGAGCGATTGCAAACCAGGAGAACATACTTTTATCCCTGTTACAAATCCCCTTACAGATCACAAACACCATCTCGGTCAGAAGCACAAAAACAGTATGGGTGCAGTAGCAACCGTATATTCGACTTAATCAGAAACGCAGTGTCATACAGCTGTTTTAAGTGAATAGCCCCTAAACAAGGCAGCATAATCCACCTATCCTTTAAGAACTTTAGTTTTGTAACTCAAAAGTCCTCCTTCTACCCAAAAAAATTACACGCATTGCACGAAAAATCACGCAGCACCACTTCCTTTTATGGCGAAGCCATTTAACTAATGATCTTCCAAATGTTGTTGGGTTATTATAAACAATTTGCCTTCCTTAAATAATGAGAGAAACTCCACCAAAAAAAATTTTTGGAAGCAATTGCAGGCCATTTATTACTTAAGATGTGAACCTCCACCTGTTTTTGGATGATAATGCTCGACATACCGTTATCACTAAGGCTTTTTAAAACTATTTATTAAGGCTCCGCAAACTATAATTTTTATAAAAAAACCAATGGGTCTACAAGTCGTCCCTGTGCTTATAATTCTTACTGATCAAGGTATTTCTAATGCTAATCCAGTAGAAATCTAAACCGGTATTTTCCATTCTCTTTCGCATATCGCCACTTTTAAAGGAATATCCCACCACCGCCCCCCTGCTCCCCGTCATACCCTCCCTCTATTTTATTAAGCCTGGAATAAATGCAAACCAGATATACAGCATTACTGCTACCAAAACTATCGTTAACGAAAGAAGACTATTTTGGCAACTGCACCAGCTCCCCTTTATTATGCACCCTCATAATTCACTATTACCTTTGAATCAGTTCTTTGAATCTCAAACTGTACAACAATTATTTAGAACTTATATCTCTCCGGATGTCCCAATGGGTCGTTGGCAAGAAAATTAGACCCAAGTAACCGCTTTTTTGATTCCATTGCCCCATAAAATGAATGTACCAAGCCGCTTGTAACAACATCAAACCCGCCTTGCTTAACAAAACCATCGATTTGGTGCAATCCCTCAGCACCGAATAACCTAACTACGCGAAACCTGCCCGAAAGAGGCAAAAAACGACCCTAAACCATCCGGTACACTGCCCAAACTCCTTCACCTCATTAACATATAGTAAAATTTACTAATGTTCAGCAAAGCATACAAACCCATACTTTGAAGACTGAAACAACATACCAAATATTACCAATCAGTAAGGTACTGCTACCAAAAAAACAAATTACTTACGAACTTCACAGAACTGGGGAAAAAAATAGCACAACACCAAATGATTATTAACCATCTACAAACTTAATCAAGGCCAAACAATAGACAAATCAACACACTACCCCACTAACGTCACCGCACACTCATTCCCATCATACCCAGCCATCTGCCTTCCCCCCTGTTCTCCAACGACTGTCTCCCCAACGTCACTACAACTGCGAAACAACCTTAAAATTTGAAACCCTGACCAATAGGTGAAGAAAATTTTAACCGCAAAACTTACCTGACACCGAACAAGAAAAACATTACCAACACCCATCCCACCCAGCAACACTAACATGAAGTTATAAAAAGCTTTCGAGTAAGCCATCGCTTTATACATGGCAAAAAAAAAACCATTTTATTCCGACTTAAATCACTTTCACAAATGAAGAGAAACTCATTTATAAATACCGAATAACATGAAAAACCTTCCAAACAAGCCAAAAAATACAACTCAACTACATATGATATCAATAAACCATTAAAATCTTCTTTATGAGCTTAGGGACAAAAAAATCTTGAAGTCAAATAGTAGTTAAAGACGCGCGAGTACGTCTGTTGGAGCATCTGTGAAAAGCGTCCCAACAAAGACATGTTTGCCAAAGACAGAATGGGAAAGGATCTGTAAAAAAACCAATTTTTACAAATGTAGATACAAACTACCTAGCAAAAACACACCCAAAGTAAACCCTAACGAATCATAAGACAACCAAACTACTAGACGAAAGAAGAGTGAAAACTACTTACTTTGCAACAACCCATGTCCATAATATTGAAACCAAGAGAACGGTATTCGTTGTCTGTAGTCTTAAGCGAAGCATCTGATTTAGTCTCACTGATATACTGTAATAAATATCAGTGTTTCCCAAAAAATTCCAGAAGTTAACGCTCTAAATCCCAACCCGAAACACAAAAAAGCTTACAGCTTTCCCTGTAGCAGGATTGACGAAATCTGCCCAGTATCCCAAATTATGAAGCATCTCGCAAGTTTGAAGTGCCGTTTGATTGAACTGAAACTTTTCATCGGCAACAGTGAACCAAAAAATCTAACCTAACACCTGCCACTAAACTTTAACCAAAAAATCCCCATTGGATTCAAAACATCTATCTACTTATCTATTATTAGAAATGAAGAGAAAGAAAGACCATGCTCCGAAGAATACAACATAAAAAAATAATGACTCACGGCAAAAAGTAAATTTAAAACAGAAAACGTCAAAAACCCAATGCAACTTACCCCCGACACAAGTCCAGTCCATTCCACCTCCATTTTTGCACTCCATTCGCTCATATCTGACTCTGTTTTCTGCACAAAGTTCACGACAGTAACATTTTCCAACTTCTGCTTTGGGAAAAGTTTCTGCGCCGCTGAAAGAAAAAATCAATTTAAAACAAACAGAGCGAGATTGTCAATAGAGTTGAAGGGGAAGATTAGTACTGCATACTTTTAAGCACGTCATCAGGGCACTCCATAGCAGTTATCTGGCTCTGAACTGGCACTTCCACCTTCGGAACCCCCTAGAAAACTGACCAAGTAATTCTTTAAAAAAATAAACTTGCAACCTCAAAATAAAACGATATAACACCCTTTGTTGCAGAGCAATATGCCAAAGTAGTACCTGAACTGCACTGTATGTAGCTTGAGAGGTGACATTCCCAGGAAGAGGGAAGTGTTTGTCGGCAACGATATTATTACTTGGAACTGAAATGGCAAACCATTACGATGGAGAGAATCACCAACTGAGGAATGACAGATACATCAAAACCATGTCCATTGAGTTTTTAACAAGCAGTGACTTTGTCAATCCGAAATAAACGCAAGATAAACCGATTTGTTGACCCACGCGACCAAAAAATGATCAGCAATCTGCCAACAATAATTTCTTCAGTACAATGTCGACCCTAATAAAAAGATTTCCAAAGAATGACTAACCTGTCGGTGCTTGCACTTGCTGTGTAACTAACTGTTCGTTGAGTGATGTGAGAGCACGTAGTCGAAGTGCAATCTGTCTAGCGTTGCCGACCTAAATATAATTCGAAGGTTGAACTATTTCGAAAAATGCAACAGCTGAAGTAAAAGACCAATAACAATATTGCAAGAGCAAGAATTTGGCGCTACTGCAGCTGGGTGTACCCACTCCCCGAAGAAACTTTGCTCCTCTAAAGCACTTACGTCATTGCCACACTGTTTGTGTAAACCAACTGCTTTTCAATCCCCTTCAAGAAAAGAACTCTTGTCCAAAGCGATCTTTAAATCTGCGGTGAAAGCAGTTTTCTTTACTGCCAGTACATTCAGTTCTATTGATGTAGATAGAACAGCAGCGAAAGTAACCAGGAATGAAGTAGGCAAAGCATATGTATACGAGTATTGGTTTTAAAAAGCGTTTTCTGACAACTTTTTCAGTCACCTAACACAACAGATCAGTAAGTTCTAGGTGCACAATCCAAACGCTATTATTATGCATATCTTTTTGGGAAAACCAGAAAATGGTTAAGAAACATGGAAATCAAGAGCAGGAAGGCTGCTCGCGATGTGAACTTGAAAAATCCTAAAATTGTGGTCACAAACTGCGCAGACCACCCACTATCTCACCATTAGAGCAGTGTCGCGAAAAATGATAAGGAGTGAAAACACAACTTCAGCACCGCGCCATTAGAAACTTGACGGCAAGTGCACAAAAAATGCAAAACTATCTCGTATAATCGGTACCTCATGAAGAAGAAATGAAGGTAGGTTGACTATGAAAAAGCATCTTCAATGATTAGCAATGCTAAACTGCAGTAACGCCAAGATCACCTCAGAACACGCAAAAAAATACTACCTTACAAATAGGTGGTAACGATTCGACACGCACGAACTCAAGAAAAAGAAAAAAATTTCATAAATATTTTTGACTAGGACTTACGCCTTAATTTGTCTTCCCCCTCCTTTCTCCAAAAAAAGGCGGTATTTTGCAAAAACCCACTCTCTAAGTTTTAAAACCGCTCGTTTTCTGCTAAATGCTCAGAGTTACGGAGTTCCAACTAGCGTAACATTGTCAAAAAAAAAAAAAAAGCTTAAACGAGCAAGCAACTGCTTTCTGCAGGATGAAGTTATACTTAAACACCAAAAATAAACTTGCTTACTATCTTATAATGTAAAGCCAAAAAAAAA